GTCAAATGTGCCTGACACTGGCCGGCACCTGATTTTCTCTATCACACCATCATCATCACATAGTTTTTCAACGGCACATCATCCCATCACCTACACCATCATCATCACATAGTTTTTCAACGGCACATCATCCCATCACCTACATAGTTTTTCGGTGTCACATCATCCCATCATCACCTACATGGTCTCTCAGCCTCTCATCACGTAGGCAAAGCACCACATTGTCGTTGGTCGACCACTGAGCCGACTCACTTGACCGATGGAAGGCGCCTTCTCACCTCCCTCGTCTCTGTTCCCTCCCCGCCCTTCCATCCCATGCCTTGTGCGCCCCTCCATCCCACCACGTACATAGTTTTTCGGTGTCACATCATCCCATCACCTACATAGTCTCTCAGCCTTTCATCACGTAGGCAAAGCACCACGTTGTCTTTGGTCGACCACAAGGACCAACACTCATCGTTTACGGCATGGACTACCAGGGTCATTTTGAATTTAAATAAAAAATGGACTATATCATTCTCTGAGTTTTTGTTTTAATTCCAATATCAAGTCAATCTGTTCCGAAAATTTCACCTACATAGTCTCTCAGCCGTTCATCATGTAGGCAAAGCACCACGCTGTCGTTGGTCGACCACTGACTCGGAGACGACTCACTTGACCAATGGAAAGCGCCCTCTCACCTCCCTTGTCTCTGTTCCCTCCCCGCCCTCCCATCCCATGCCTCATGCACCCCTCCATCCCATCACCTACATAGTTTTTCGGTGTCACATCGTCCCGTCACCTACATAGTCTCTCAGCCTTTCGTCATGTAGGCAAAGCACCGCGTTGTCGTTGGTCGACCACTGAGCTGACTCACTTGACCAATGGAAGGCGCCTTCTCACCTCCCTCATCTCTGCTCCCTCCCCGCCCTCCCGTCCCATGCCTCATGCCCTTCCTCCTCCACCTTCTCACCTCCCTCCTCTATGCTCCCTCCCCACCCTCCCCTCCCGTGCCTCATGGCCCCCTCCTCCCTCTTCCACCTTTTGTTTTTCTTCGCATTTGCAGCATCACAAACAATGGCAAATCCCCAATAGTGATATACGGCATCATGGCTCAAATGGCTCCTGTTCTTTTTCCCACAGATCCTTAGGTACGATTGTTTTACTTATTTTTGGGTGCAACTGCGCCCAGATACATCCCCACACGGCCGTAAATGGGGTCAGATGCATTTAAGATAGTGCTTGTGTGAGTACACCTTTACCTTTTTTCCCATTGACACACCAATAAACGGAAACTTTTGTAAGGGGGGAAAGGGAAGGGTAGGGGAATCTTCCCAATTCCATCCATCTCTGCTGCAATGTCGTCATCGACTGGTACACAGATTAAGAGCTTACGAGTTCCATTTGTTTTGAACCCCATCACCCATCACCCATCCACCGTATCCATTCCATCCTGCGCAATGATGTAAAACATATATGAGTGCGAGGACGTCCATGTGTGTGTGTTTAAGCTGTGAATGCCCACCCATCCGTCTTCTCAATTGCACTTGCAGCGTCAACAAAGAATCCCCAAGCTAACGTACATTGAGGGGGAGTTTCCCACAACATCCATGCATCTGAGACTGTGGCTGAGGCGTTGAGTGTGTGTGAGCAAGCTAGCAAGTTACAGTGAACGTGCAATGGACACAAATGGTTAATAACAGGGACCCCTACTTCTCAGCCCCTGGTTAACACCCCCAACACTGAAAACAGTGAAAAGTGCATTTGTTTTTTTTTGTTTTTTTTTTGGGGGGGGTTGAGGTCTGCGTGTGCCAAGTTTGGTGTTTGTTGGGGTCTTGGAGATGACTGTTTTGGCCAGCCCTGAAAATCCTGAAAATCCTTATGGTTCAAGCCCGTTATTACCCAGATGGGAAAATAGCTTAGTTGGTTAGAGTGCTGGTCTGTCACGCCAGACATCGCAGGTTCAAATCCCGTTTTTCCAGGGGGGTATGGCTGAGTGGCTGAAGGCATTGGTTTGCTAAATAAACATACAACAAGATTGTATCATGGGTTCAATCCCATTTCAATCCCATTTCCTCCGTTCCGAGACTTTTCTTCAAATTAATTTGGAAAGAGATTGCACTTAATTTTCATACAGTTGTTATACTTGCGGCTCATATGATGCATCCCGCACGTGCGCCGCACCGCGCACCGCGCATGACGCGCGCGCACGGGGTGCGGCGCACCCCGAAAATAAGGGGTCGGCCAAAAAAAAAAAGTTGGGGAGGGGTGTTGTAGACTCAAGTGGGATGTCGCGTCAAGAAACAAAAAAAACAACAACAACAATTTGAGGCCACGCGGGGCCCCGAAAAAAAAAAAGGGGGGGGGAGCTGAATTGTTTTTTTAAAGGAAGAACATCAGAATTTCTTTGCACGAGTGAAGCCCGGCGCGTCCAACCTGTCAGAACCTCAACGGTAATGTTCACCAACGGGCTCGCTGCGCAACTCTCGACATGCACAACAAGACATAGGGCCTGGCTGCACTACTCTCAACATGCACAAAAGACAAAAATATTGGCGGTGTATCTTTCCATATTCTAACGCAAAATTCACTCTCGTTTTGCACATTTCCAGAGTAGTGCAGCGAGGCCCATATATGGTCATGTATCTTTCCATGTTCAAGCGGAGGATTCAGTCTCATTTGTTCAGAGATTCTCAAAAAAAAAAAAAAAAAGTTTCCAGAGATACGTTACGTGCTTACCTGATTCATCGGCTCTTCGTTCTCCACCACCCAACGTATGAAGGAATCTTCCGCCAGAACATGGAAAGATACACCGCCTTATTTTTTGTCCTTTGTGCATGTCGCCCCGCTTCCGGATTCATGTTGCCCGTTGATAAGGGCGGTTTCTTCGGTCCGATAGTGTCAGCACACGTTTTCTTCTCTCTCTCAGACGGTTTCCTCTCTCTCTCTCTCTCTCACACACACACGCACACACACACACACACACACAGAAATGTGGCGGTGTATATTTCCATGTTGCAGCGGTAGATTCAGTCAATTCTCGTTTTGCACATTTCCAGAGTAGTGCAGCGACGCCCATATGTGGCAATGTATCTTTCCATGTTCAAGCGGAGGATTCAGTCTCATGTGTTCAGAGATTCTCCAAAAAAAAAAAAAAAGTTTCCAGAGATACGTTACGTGCTTACCGGATTCATCGGCCCTTCGTTCTCCACCACCCAACGTATGAATGAATCTTCCGCCAGAACATGGAAAGATACACCGCCATATTTTTTGTCCTTCGTGCATGTTGCCCCGCTTCCGGATTCATGTTGCCCATTGATAAGGGCGGTTTCTTCGGTCCGATAGTGTCAGCACACGGTTTCTTCTCTCTCTCACACGGTTACCTCTCTCTCTCTCTCTCTCTCACACACACACACACACACACACACACACAAATGTGGCGGTGTATATTTCCATGTTGCAGCGGTAGATTCACTCAATTTTGCTCGTCGTTTCGATGGAAGTACCAGGAGGCCAGCCGCGACGTTGGAGACCTCTCTCTCTCTCTCTCTCTCCCTAAAATAAAAAACCAGTAAAATAAATCCCTAAACAAACAGTAAAATAAAAAAAATAGAATAAATGGTGTGCGCACCCGGTGCACCTGCGCCCCGCCAGCACACACTCCCCAGCGCACCGGCCCTGAGCGCAGCGCACTGCGCACTGCGCACCCGTGTGCGTGGCGCGCGCCAGTGCGCGCGCACCTCGGGTCCGCGCACCGCACAGCGCAGCGCACAGGGTCGGTGCGCCGCAAGTATGGTTGTTACCTAGGCTACCAGCCGGGCCGCCCGGGTCCCGGGTGGCCAGCCCGTGCAAGGACCATGGAAGGTCCCAGCAAAAAAAAAAAAAAAAAAAGAAACCCTAAAAATCCGAAAAACAACTATGTTATGTAGAAAAATAAACTGGACAACTTTTGCCTCAGGGTCACATCGAAATTCTTCATCAAATTTAGAATAAAAAATAAAACTTAAAAATATTTTTTCTATTTTTAATTTTTTTTTTTTTTTTTTTTTTTTTTTGGCCCGGCTGGGCAAGTGACCCCGGGCCACTCTGGTAGCCTAGGTTGTTACAGCATTTTTGTTGTTTTTGTTGTACATCACAGTCCCTCCTTTGCTGATAGGCTTTTCTACAAATTTATTATTTCGTTTTAATTTAGGATTAATTTGGAATTTTGGATGTGTATTTTATTCTCATTTCTTCCCAATATGGACCGTTTGTTTCAAAGTGATTTTGAAGATGGTACACTCGAATTGTATTGTTTAAGTGGACCATCCACTCGTTTACAAAAGATTTTAATTTACTGAAAAAGAGCGATTTTTGGATGAAAAGTTGAAAACACACTTTTGCCTTCGGCCCTTTTGATCCATTTTTTCGCTCTTTTGTTCTTTTGCTGTTGGTTTATTTGGTGTCCACTGTCCACTCTATCGACAGGTTACGAGTCTGGCTTAAAAGGTGTGGTACATTTGTTATAATGACCCTGAAAAAACCCTCCAAATTTAGGGCTCTGTTAACCTCTTCTCGCAATGGAGAGGTGAACATCACACAACTGGTGTGGCCCTGCTGTTGGCAGTGTTGGGCACTGCAACACCAATGGGATGACAACGACATCCCACTCTCACAATCCAGATCACGGGCTTTATTCCCTGGATGGTAGCAAGCAGACCCAAGACAAATGCCGATCAGACGACCACAAACAGTGACCACAAACAGCGACAACCTTCATGAAAGCATCTGCTTTTGTGTTTACTGGAGAAAGAGTTTAAGTGGCGTAGGAAAAGGCTTCTTTCGTTTTGCTTGATCTTCTCTCTGACTTTCTTTGTACGACGATTTGATGCTTGCTGCAATGTAGTTGTTGCTTGTGCCTATTGCACACAGCAGCATTGACAATAACAAGAAGATATACGAAAAGGTAGAGAGGAGTGAAGGGCAAGAAAACGACAGACCTCGGCCTCGGCAGTGCATTCTCTGGTGACAACATCACACTCCTCGCTCATTGGATAATACGGCTCTTCCGGTTCATACACCTCATCCTCGATGAGTTTTTCTGCGTCTGCCACGTATGCGGCATAGCTAAACGCAGCACCATTTGTAACTTCAAGTGCCTTCCGTTTCTCAGCATCTCGCGCCAACCGTTTCGCTGAATCTGCCAAGGCGTTCGCTCTGTCAACGGCAGACTGCATCCGTCGCTCTGTAAGTTCACGCTCTACATCAAGGGCTCCCTGCATTTGACAAATCACCGTCAAAGTAAATCCACCTCAGATTGGTGCACCAATAAACTGTTCACATGCAAACGTCAGGTCGAATCCGAGATGACTGAATTACCTGGGGGCAGGTCAGTTCCAACTCCGAACTCCCACGGAAATATAAAAATCAAAAAATCAATCCATAGACTCCCAGCACAGCAATCATAAAAATCGAGGACAACTATATATCCATGAGCAGCTATTTAGGAAAGAAAAAAGAAGAGAGGGAAAAGAAAGAAAAAGAGTCAAAAACTATGTTGGGTCGTCGCCCGGCCCGGCATGCCCGGCCAGGCACGCCCAGGCCAGTTGGGCAGAGGGGGGTTCACCCGGCAACACCACACGGGTCAAAAAAGAGGCAAGGACCCCCCCCCCCCCAAAAAAAAAGGACTTCAGGCCAGTACTGCGCTTGGCCTAAGCAGTCAGAATCCAATCTTTGGTCTTAACTTCGGTTTTGGTGATGGGTCATCCAGGGGGGTTTGGGGGGTATAAACAGTGACTAAAGGGGTTAAAGGGTACATTTGGACTCATGTTTTCTCATTTATATTTTATCTTAAAATTAACAAGGAATTTCGAGGTGGTCCTCAGCCAAAGTCATTTGTATTGCAATTCGAGACAACCCACATTTTTTTTCGGATTTTTTTGACTTTTTTTCATTTTCTATTTTTTAAAATATTATGCAGTAGGATAGCCCGGGGCCCAGCCCAGGCCCTGCCTGGCCCGGCCCGCCCAGGAGGGTACCCAGGCGACCTTCCTCCAGTCGGGCCGCCCGGGGACTAACACAGCTCAAAAAGAGTTTATGAACAGTTTTGTATATACCATTTGGCCACACTGGGTCGGCCGCCCGTTCGAGTCCGTGCACGCATGGAGGGGGGGTGAGGCCCAGAGGTACTGATCCAATGACACTGGGCCCGCAACTTTTCTTTTCTAGTTTTTTAACTTTTTTTTTGTGTTTTTTTCCAAGGCCATTCCCACCAACGACGGGCTACAGCAGGTTTGGGCAGTGTCCCAACAGAGACCATCAAGTGACGGGTGGCTCCCCGCGGAGGCCATAAAGTGATTCATGGCTCCCATTGGAGGCCATCAGGTGACGGCTGAGCCTATCCGCCCTGGGCCCAATAATGTCAGTGCTGCTTCGCTGGAAGGTAAGAAGGAAGAGGAAGAAGGACAGAAAAATGAGACTTGTGCACTAATTGCACCAGAATTAAGATGCATCAAATAGAGAACTTGGTAAACTGCAGCTTCGCTCATTTTGCGCTTGGGTCACAGCTACGAATACTGGACGTATTCAGTCACATTTGGGTTGTCATTGCCTCCAACGAAATGAACATGCATCCAGCTTTGAGACATAGGTTTAGGCTCATATGTACTGGAAAGAATAGACAAAAAACAGCATTGAAGGCGGTTGGTTTCCTAACCACGACTGTACGACAGACATCAACTGAAGGGAAGAACGACGAGGCAGTATCATAACTCACCAGATCAACTTCGAGCCAGCGCGCAAAGATCCTACAGATTGCTGCCCTCTGCAACCACCCCCACATATCATTGTTTCAACCACAAGAAATCGCGATGTCAATCACTTAGACGACCACTCTAATACATTAATTACTTCTGTCAAATCAACACCCAAGCCCTGCTACAGGCATCGCCAGGTAGGCATATATTTGCTCAATGACGCCTCATCAATGCCAGCACATCACCATCATATTCCGGCAAATATCACCTCTCTGCAACTAAAAGATTAATAATACATCACTGGCTGCGATTACACCACTGACTGTGTTTCGGCACCCCTTGGTAGCCTCAGAGAACAGCTGTAGGTCGTGACATAAACCCCATCGCCACAGCAATTTCCATATCCATATTCCAAGGAAACAGAGAGAAGAAGCAAGGCAGAGGGTAACATATGTGTGTGGAGTGGGGCACAGAGTGAGAGGAGCGGGAAGGGGACACAGAGAGAGAGAGAGAGAGAGAGAGAGAGAGAGAGAGAGAGAGAGAGAGAGAGAGAGAGAGAGAGAGAGAGAGAGAGAGA